TGAGATGATTTTATGCACTAATTCCTGTGTTTAATTCTCATGATCTAAAAGAGCTGTGTTTCCAAGGGTATTTTCTGATATGTATTTACTTTGAAATGTTTGGGTGTTCATTTATAAGTGTTTGAATCAGTTTGACTAAAAGGATGGACATTATAATGAGGCATCTTCGATCAGATATTTTAAGGCCTCTTGGCATATTTAATAGGCTTAACTCTTCTGGTTTTGGGATTTCTAGATGGGCCCCTAGCAGCCTCAAAGTCAGAAGAATGTGTTATGTGTTTCAAAGGTTGTATCTTTCAATTGGTAAAGTTAATTACAGGACAGACAACTGATTAGATCTGTAAACAAACAAACAAACAAAAAACCCAACAAATTGGGGGTGGGGGGAATTGTAGAAAACACAGTGAGAAACCTTGCCAGTGGGGAACCAGGACTAGATGCAATCCTGCCGGGAAGGCTCCAGGAATAGTTGATATGAAAATTTACAGGGAAAGAACTCCTTAGTCCTCAGGTTTGAATAACAGATCAAAAAGAGGTGCTTTCTCCCCCAGGCAGGGGAACAAGAACTAACAGACCTAGGAAAGGCATCTGCTAGAGGAACAAACTGTTTATTGGTACACTCCCTCTTATTGTTGAATCTCTAAGTGACCATCTGGTTGTGGTGTCAAAAAGTACAAGAGTGAGTAAAATCCTACAGGTGGTATCACAGCGCTAAACATAGATACTTTGTTTTCTAGGGTTCCAGCAGACCTATTGTATCCATTAAAGCTAAAGTTTAATAGTAAACTATAGGTATGGTTTATTCAGATTATTAAGAGCAAAATGTAATTCTAAACAATTGGTAACTTTTTTTTCATTTTTTAAAATTATATTTTGACAATCTTTACATAGTTAATTACAGTAAAAAGGTTCAAGGGCTACAGGAAAGTGGGTAAGACTATTATTTTTTCCATATTGTTTCCTTCATGTTTAAAGGGGGGTATTAAGGGCGAAGGCTCACAATTGGCAACTTTAACACACTTAAGAGAATTCTCAAGTAGCTGTTACAAAAGCTGTTTTGTTTTATAATATGTATTACCTGATATACATGTACATGTTTATGTAGTCTATCTTAATTGGCTTACAGATGAAAATATTCATAAATGTGAATTGCTAAGCTAAATCCTTTTGAAAATAATGTATGGATACACAATTAAGCTCTTGGAGAGGCATGTCTGTTTCTGTTTTCTCAGGACCTACAAAGTCTGTTCAGCTGAATGGTTCTGAATGTATTCAAATGGACTTACTACTCAGGACTTCAACAAAGAGAAGACTTTCAAGTGCCAGGATGTACATCAAACACCTGATGACTTCTGCCTTCTATCAGGAATCACAGGATGGATCCCCTACTGCTGCTGTTACCCAACAGCGCCCCATATTAGCAGGAAGTAGCTAAGAGCAGACGAAGACACCCCTCTTCCCTAAAAACTTTTGGGGTCCATCTCTGTTTGGAAATGTAGGAGCCAGATGGGATGATAGGCAGTTAGGGTCTCTGGTTCCTGGTAAAACTGTCTTGTATACATGTAACATCTTAGCACTATGAGATTCTTGAATGTTAGTATTTTCAACAATACTTGTACATTGTTAAGTATGTCTTTTTGAATCTCACCAACCAGCTTGCTGCCATCATTATTAAGGTCAATGAGACCCTGGTGCCCCTCATGTCGAGGAAGTTATTCTAAATGGCATTAGACTGGCAGCACGGATGTTTAAGGAATGGAGCGGAGTCTTAGCCTTGGGACTGATGGTCGTGGCCATGATTGCAGTACTGTTTCCTCTTCTCTGCCTCCTATGCAGGCAACAAGCCCAGGAGCAGGTCATCATTTGACAAACCATGATGGCCTTGGCTGTGGAAAACCCTAGTGCTCAAGTCTGGTTGAGCATGATGTGTAATGGGCAGCCAGAGACGGGTAAGATCTGGCAGAGCTGATGACCAACCTAAGACAGGGATCCTGCATGCCCCGGGCAGGCTCCCCATGATGGGTAAGGCATCAACTGACTGCTGGACAACCTAAGATGGGTGTCCATTAAAAAACGAAAAAGAGGTGAATATGCAGGGCCTCATATCCCAAGGGTTAACTCCACAGCTTAGCTTGTTTCTCAAGGGGTAACAGGATGCACAATCTTGGCCTGATACATTTAGCCCCTGGCTTGACCACAAGTTCCTGCTTCCCTGCTTCCCATTTATCAAGATGCCCCTGGGGGTCTTAGGAGCTGCTTGAGCATTGGAAAAATACTGGGAGGAACTAGAGAGCATAAAAGGCAGACTGCAGTTCAATAAAGTGGCATTCTCTTTACAAGAATGACCCAAGGTGTAACCCTAGTCTCCCCGTTCAGCTCAGGATGGCAATGCGGGTGTTGCCGACAGCAAATCACAAGGATGGGGACAGGATCGGGGTGCTGTGCCTTTACAAAAGCTGATCCCAGGCTGCCACTGGTTCCTTCACCTGCCATCTTCCGAGAAGCACTCACTTTTTAAAAATTTATTTATTTTTACTGAAAGGCAGATTTACAGAGAGGAGAGACAGAAAGATTCTGTCCGGTGATTCACTCCCCAAGAGGCCGCAATGGCCAGAACTGAACTGATCTGAAGCCAGGAGTCAGGAGCTTCTTCCAGGTCTCCCAAACGGATACAGGATCCCAAGGCTTTAGCCAACCTGGACTGCTTTCCCAGACCACAGGCAGGGAGCTGGATGGGAAGGTGGAGCAGCCAGGAAATAACCCTGCACCCATAAGGGATCCTGACGCACACAAAGCAAGGATCCGAGCCACTAGGCTACTATGCCGGATCTGAACCACTCATTCTGTAAGACTCAGGTTATACAATATTTTTCTGAGGAGCCACCTGAGCCACATTCCCACTCAAAGCCCACAGACACCTCTGCTTGAGGTACAAAACTGCTTCACCACCCATGCCTCTCTTTGTTGGTAATACACTTCATAAGGATGAAAACTCTATACTATGACTTCCTGATTCTTCAGCATTTAACCACTGAGGACTCAGCAGACACTGAATAATAATTGGTCAGTGGGATTAAGAAATTAAAAAGTGGACAAATGAACAGATAATCAGCCACACATGGAAAATTATTCCTAATTTTCTCAAACCTCATTTAGAACTGAGGTAAAAAATACTCAGTAAACAACAAATAAGTCCTTAAATGATTCCTCCAATTTTGTCAATTGTATTTCAAGGTATAAGAATGTAGCAATTTCTAAGCAAGATATCAAAACTGCAATGCATGGTGGTATAATTTTTTAATGCTACTAATGGTATCACTATTGCTATACTGCTAAAGCAAGGGCAGAAAGTTCACCTTATTATTTTAATTCAGCTTGGGGCAGGTACTGTGGCACAGCACAGTCCTAGCCTGTAACGCTAGCACCTGACACAGGAATGCGCATTCCCAGCCTGTAATGCTAAGATCTGACACGGGAATGTCCGATCCCGGCCTGTAATGCCAATTTGAATATAGCTGTTATGCTTCAGTTCCAGCTTCCTGCCAACGCATCCAGGAAGCCAGCAGATGATGGTCCAAATATGTTGAACACTTGCTCTAGTGGGGGCGACCCAGATGGAGCTCCAGGCTCCTGGCTGTGGCCTGGCCCAGTCCTGGCTGTTGAAGCCACTTTAGCAAAGGAACCAGCATTGGGACCTCTGTCAGTTTTCCTTTCAAATCAGTAAATCTTCTTGTTTACTGAAATTCTACCTAATCAGATATCCTAGACACTCCACATGAATGATAGGTATTCTTCTTAAACAAAAAAATCACTAACACTTAGCAACTGATCACTGTGTACACACATACAATCACAAACCTAATGCTTGTCTATTACACTCAGAAGTAATGTTGAATCTATTAAACTCAGAAGACTCAAGAATTACATTATGATTTCACAACTACCTTGTCACTAAATTGCAAAAAAAAAATTGTTTCTACTCAAATTTTTAAGTGATCATACTTTCCCAACAAAATCTTATTTTCAGACTGGTGGGAGAGCACACGAATGACACTCAACAGTTCTAACCAAAACTAAAGCCAGGCTGAACCTTGGGCCTGGCACAGCATGCTGCTCAGGATGCCTGCGCCCCATCCTGGAGCTCCGGAGTGCAGCTTCCTACTAGTGCCAACACTGGGCGGGCAGCGGACCCCTGCCACCCCATCGGAATCCCAGGCTGAGTTCCAGCTCCTGGCTTTTCCTGACCAAGCTCTGGCTTGGGCAGGCATTTGTGGAAGGAACCAGCAGATAGCTCCATCTCTACCTCTCTCAACTGAAGATCTGAACCTATATGAACTTTTTCCAGAGCAAAACCACCATAGACAACCTTTCATCAGATTTTATCAGACCTTCGAAACACCACAAAAATTTACATTTCAATGATAGAACAGTCAGAAAACGTTTGGCAAAATGTTAAACCACCACCAAAGAAAATAAAACTAACCTTCACAAGGATATAACAAAAACAACGTTAACAAACATCCAAGCCATGAGTACAAAGCTCACGGCACTCCAAAACACATGTGGGCAGCAGAACACACAAAGTTCATCACTGGAAATATTTTAGCTTATTCTAAATTTTCTGCTGCACAAGCAATTTACGTATCTCCATTTATAACAGTAAATGTACATAAAATAAGTAATTAACACTCAATTTTAGAGTTCATTGCAAATTTAAGAGTGAAATATCCCAAATTCAACAGAAAACTATTAGATGAAAGTTAGCAGGTCAAATTATTAGTCTGTCTAAAAACATTAATCAACAAATTTATATATTTGCTAATATAACTAAAGTCAAAAAGATTTTTTAAAACTTCACAGGCGAGACGGAAGGGGAAATTCCTAAGTCTATGCAATGTACCATGAAAATAAACAGAAGAGAAAAATAATAAAATAAAATTCAATTAATTAAAAGAAAAACCACGTTCCCTCTTCTCTATTGAAAGTTGCACAGTACTTACTCTAACACTTCATAATTGGACTTCTTTTCCAGCGCATTGCCCCTCATCTCCCAGTAGGATCTCCTGCAATGAGCGAAGACATACAGGACTCATGTCTATGTTGTTGTTTAAATGATAAAAACTGGGTTGAGATGTAGTTAAGCAAATCACATGATTCAGAATTCAAATCTTATGCAACATTTTACTGATAATTTTTATGAAAAATAGCCAGAAATTCCACAAAGAAAAAAAGTAATGAATAAAACCAAAACACAAAGTTAGCAGCTTACCGAATTTCTAGACAACCCAACTTCAAAGCGATTTCCTGGTCCACCTGATCAGCCACCTCTGCCATGTAGTCACTCTTCACCTGCAATCAAACACGGTGTGTGAGGCGTGCTGGTCCAACCCCGCTGGCCGACTACCTAACACACTCGTGCACCACACCAGATACAGATAAAACGGGACCTACGAAGACACGCTCAAAGAGCCCGTGACTAACGTAGTGGGACATAAAGAAGCAAATATAACATCTCAAGCAGAAGGTGTTTTACTGCCTCCCATTCAAAGAAAAAGAAAATAACCTCTATTTCCACGACTAACAGCAAATGAGCCCGAGTCCACCAGCAGTTTCACCCTCCAAACAAGGGCAAGAGGGACTGACATACTACGAAACTCACCTCACCCAACAGGTTTCACCTAACCATCAATTGTAAGTGATTAAACTGCAAAGTAATAACATACCTGAGGCCTAGCGGAAAGAGACGAATCTAACAGAATTCTAGAAAGGCCTTCTGAGTGATGAATATGATTAGGAGGGTGGTGGACAACTTTACAGATGAAAAATGTACAATCTCCTTACAGATTGGCATTAACGGATAAAATATGTAACTGACTTTGATTCGACAGAGCTCTCATTTTATTCCTATATTTTTATCTACTTGAAACACAGATCTTCTGTTTGCTGTATCACCCCTCAAACACCTCCAACAGGAAGAGCTGGCAGTGGCCTAAGCACTTTCACCATCTTACTATGTCCCCCAGAATGCAGCCGCAGGAAGTGGATCAGAACTGGAGGACCCAGGACAAAAACTGGCACTTGGTATGATACACAGCCATCCCCACCTGTGGTGACTAACAGCATGTCCCAGGAGCCAACACTGTGGCATAATGGATTAAGCCGGCCCCTGCAATGCCAACATCCCAGGATGGGCAGCAGCTTGAGTCTTGGCTGCAGCACATCCAGTTCATCTCTCTGCTAAAACCTCAGGAAGCAGAAGATGACGTAACTCCTTGGGTCACTGTATCACGTGGAAGACCCAGATGAAGTTCCTGCTTCCTGCTTCAGCCTGGCCCAGCCACAAATGTGGCCATTGGGAAGTGAACTAGCAGATAGAAAAAATTCTCTATATAAATCTGTGCTTCAAATAAATAAGTTATACACACATGTATGTGTTTACTTTAATGACTACGTATATTTACTTGTTTAAAAGCTTGCCCCAGAGTACTCACTCTAACTATAAAAAGCATCCCACTGGCCTTGTTAGTACATCTATTTTACAAAAAAGGACACTTAATCAAAACATGAATTCTATTAAAAAGTTATTTTCTCTTGTTATGTAAGCAGTTTTACACTTGTCTCAACACTGCCTCTTTGTCCTCAGAGGCTCAAGCATTTAGGGCCTGGCTCCTTTACAGAGAGAGTATACTAACCGTTGCCCCGGTCTCCATGAACACCATCTCCTGGCCAGCCAGACTCCATGAACACCATCGCCTGGCCAGCCAGACTCCATGAACACCATCTCCTGGCCAGCCAGACTCCATGAACACCATTGCCTGGCCAGCCAGACTCCATGAACACCACTGCCTGGCCAGCCAGACCCTGCTGCACAACATCTCCATCCCCACATCACACCAACCTAGCTAAGTCTGCCTCAGGCTTCATGGTTCCTCACAACACTCTTCTCTTTCAAAAACCCAATGTTCCTTGTGCCCTATAACCCTGCACTGCAGTGTTCAGTTAGAACAGTCTCTGCTGAACCTATATCCTCTTTTTCTGCGCTTACTGCCGGGCAGCTGAAAAAACATCAGGGGAACCTTACCCACAAGTCTAAAATAGCCACTTAAAAACATCTGGGAATCCAACAGTACTCGTCTCAGAAGTTCCCCAACACGTAATTTCCTTCTTTTTTCACCAACATACCATATCTCTTCTTTTTTAAAACAGATTTATTTATTTTTATTACAAAGTCAAATATACAGAGAGGAGGAGAGACAGAGAGCAAGATCTTCTGTCTGATGATTCACTCCCCAAGTGAGCGCAACGGCCGGTGCTGCGCTGATCTGAAGCTGGGAACCAGGAAACTCTTCCGGGTCTCCCACACAGGTGCAGGGTCCCAAAGCTTTGGGCCGTCCTCAACTGCTTTCCCAGGCCACAAGCAGGGAGCTGGATGGGAAGTGGAGCTGCTGGGATTAGAACTGGTGCCCATATGGGATCCCGGCGTGTTCAAGGCGAGAACTTTAGCTGCTAAGCCATGCCGCCGGGCCCCATATCTCTTCTTATACAGAAGTTACAAGGCATTAGACAGGAACTCTCTTCAGCTCAGCAAAGGGCTTAGGACAGGTGTGCACACTCAATGGACGCGCTCCTTCTCTCAGGGTGGGAGTGTTGCCGTGCCTGGCAGCTGACAGTGTGGGCCACTGCCTCTCAAGCTCTTTCTTTCTGCATCCTTACCTGGGGATCAGTACTGAATCAATGAGCGGGGAGCATGAGAAACAAAGTGCCCATTCAAGCAGGGCACTGTGTAAATATTAACTTCTGTGTTAACACTAACAAGCAACACATCCTCCTGTTCCTTATGCATAGCATCACACATCGCATTAACTTGAACTGAATCACTCAATATGCCACGAAAACAAAACAAAACAAAACAAAAAAACTGAGGCTAGTAAGCACAAAAACCAGGGCTGGGGCACACCTGGTACAGATTAGGGGTGGTGCCCACTAGGCTGCTATGAATGAGTATCGGACCTAGGCCAGGCTGGCTGTGCTAGGCTGCAGCATCCATCAGTCTGCACGAGGTCGATGGTGAGGGTGGGGCAGAACTACTAGGCTGCTGCATCCACTGGTAAGTGCGGTGTCTGGTGGAAGTGATGGAATGAACTTGACCCTGTACTGGCTGGTGCAACAAAAAAGTCTGAGGTCACCCCAGACACGTATTCTAGGGGAGTTCCCCGCACTGGACTCGGACTCCGGCCACAGGGAAAGAGCAGAGGATGTGTGGTCAAACCTTGGAGCGCCTCCCCAGTCGCCTGAAGCCCGTGCCGTGGACAGATGCTCACAGGGAGGACAGCCAGCTCACCCGGGCAGCAAGGCGCTTGGACTGCCTAGCTGGAGCACAACCCTCCTGGCAAACCAACTTCTCGGGTATCAGAACTACTCCAATAACACCCTTGAACACTTCCCCACACCGAGGTACCTCAGCGTCATTCACTGACCACCCCACACCCCACGTGCTGATGCAGTACGACAGCAAGCTGCAACCCCTCCCACTTTTCCTCTGTGAATACAGGATTTAAAACAACTGAAATATTTATCCAACCATCTTCCTTCATATCAGACCTTCCCAACCCTAACCAGAGGCCCACAGTCCTCTCAACTGCAGAAATATTTAAAAGAAAATGAAAAAAGAAGAAGCTGCAGGCACAAGATGTTAAAGAACTAAACAACTGAAAAAATCAGTGCCCATTAAATTTCAAACCCTTCAAAAAAAGGCTTGCTTGAGCACAGCATGCCATGAAAATATATGGTTACACATAAGACTGTCTCTTACATGCTTGCATCAGCTATCACAGATTTTACGAATCCAAGAATAAGTGTCAATCAGGGCCTGGTGCAGTGGCCTTGAACGCGCTGGTGATGGCACACAGCGCCGGTTCTAACCCCAGCAGCTCCGCTTCCCATCCAGCTCCCTCTTGTGGCCCGGGCAAGCAGCACAGCAGGGTTTAAGGGCGAGAGCTGAAACAGAAGCTCCTGGAAATGTTTAGGTCTGGCTCTCCGGGGAGTGAGCCAGCAGATGGAAGATCTTTCCCTGCCACTCCTTCTCTGTAAGTTTGCCTTTCCAACAAAAATAAATAAATCTTAAACAAGAAAAATTGCCCAACTCTGCCTGACATTCCCTGTAGGACTTCAGCCTTCACACAAGAGAAGATACTGCCCCCTCCCCCAAGAGCTGAAACCCACGCAAGCTTTCTGCCTTCTGCTGTGCGGGCGGCAGCAAGGAGCATTACTGCCACTAAAGAAACTGACCTTCTGACCTTGCTCTGGCAGATTTAACCCACAATGCTCGTCCGTGGCACCAGCGGCCTAGACTCACACAGGAGGCATTATTTCCATTTGCCACTGAAGGTCAATGTGAGTCGTATCGAATTCATTCACTAAGCTTGCGTACTACTGTGCTGGTACATGGATAATCTTTTTTTTTTTTTTTTCCTTTTACAAAGTCAGATATACAGAGAGGAGAGACAGAGAGCAAGATCTTCCGTCCGATGATTCACTCCCCAAGTGAGCGCAACGGCCGGTGCTGCGCTGATCTGAAGCTGGGAACCAGGAACCTCTTTTGGGTCTCCCACGCAGGTGCAGGGTCCCAAAGCTTTGGGCCGTCCTCGACTGCTTTCCCAGGCCACAGGCAGGGAGCTGGATGGGAAGTGGAGCTGCTGGGATTAGAACTGACACCCATATGGGATCTCGGTGCGTGCAAGGCAATGACTTTAGCCACTAGGCTACCGTGCCAGGCCCTACATCTGTAAATCTTTATAAGACCAAGTTGAGAGTCTCCAAACTTGCTATAAAATATTGTCATTTGGCAGAGTGGTCTCACTTAAACAAACAAACAAACACCATTCTGGGGCCTGAGGCTGATCCAGCTAGTTGCTGGGTGACACGCAGGAGAGGACAGCTCTGCCCGACTTCAGCTGCCTGCTAGTTCAGACTGGGAAAGGCAGTGTAGAGCTCAAGTACGCAGTATAAAGTCATTTTCTGCTTCTTATGCAAACCCTATCAAGATTATATTACCATTGCTGGCTCTGTCAGGAGTCTCTACATAAGACACACTGGCTGATATTCAGATGTGATAGCTACACTTGGTTAGTATTACCTTTCCAATAATTTGCCTGAGGGCTGGTGGCTGGTACTGGGATTAAGCTGCCAGTAGGGACACCGGCACCTGATGTGGGTCAGCCCAGTTCATTTCGGATCGTCTACTTCTCCTTCTCTTCTCTTTCCTTTTTTCTTTCCATTTTAATAGATGTATTTGTTTATTTGAAAGTCAGAGTTGCAGAAAGAGACACACACAGAGAGTTCTTCCTAGGTGGCCACAATGGCCAAGGCTGGGCAGGCAGAATCTAACAGCCAGGAGCTTCTTCTAGGTCTCCCACATGGGTGGTAGAGGCCCAAACACTTGTGCTACCATCCACTGCTTTTTCCAGGCCATCAGCAGGAAGCCTGATCAAAGGGGTAACAGCCAGGACACAAATTAATGCCCACTGGATACCACCACGGCAGGTGGTGGCTTCACCCACTATACCACAGCACCAGCCCCCACCCTCCCCTCCTAATCCAGTTTTCAGCTAACGCATACCTTGGGAGGCACGCAATGGTGGTTCAAGCACTTGAGTTACTGGCACCTAAGAAGCGGATCCAGACTCACCTTCAAGTTCCTGGCTTCCCCTTGGCTCTGCTCTGGTGAAGGTGAGCACTTGGAAAGTAAATCTGCTGAAGGAAAACCTTTTCTACCTTTCAGGTAAAATACAAATAATAACTTTGCTCAAGCATATAAAAGTGTCAAAAATTCAGTTTCTTTCTTCCTGAGATAGGCCTTACATCAGGGTTAGTTCTAAGTAAACACGTGTCATGAATACAACTGACATTCACAGAAAGCATAGTAAAGCATCCTTTATACCTGCTGATAGAAGAAATTCAGAGTTGGCTTGTCTTCAGTAAACTGGTTAAGAAATCCTTTCGGCAAATAACGAATTCTCAATTCGTATCTAAAACATAATTCACAAAATAGAACAATTAGGAAGAAATAACTCACAGACAATCATTATACAGTATTACTGTGACAGCAGAATTAACAATTGCTTTGGGAAATTATTTTTAGAATAGGGAAAAGCAAATTTAATTTTAAATAAAATTTTTTTATTTTCAGCACAGGAAAAAGAACTTCAGTGTCTCTGGTATGTTACGGCTCAGGGTGCTGCAGGGGCCAGCATGCCGGCAGGCTACACCCGCGGCTCGCTCTGCACCCCGACCGTTACACGCCCATCGCCCACAGGCTTCCACTCTACACTGCCTACAGCAAACCTGCCCTCGCGCGTCTGCTGCCTCCCCTTCACTCATGAACCTATGAGAGCCATCCCAGCGAGGGGCTGCTATCTGTCCCTAGCCAAAAACACACCGCACTGTATGACACGCCCAGTTGCCCCACAGTACTTCACTGATCAATGACTTGCTTCTACTTGGTGACAACTAGTAATAGTGCTACTATGAATAATTTTATCTTATCCATATTTTCAGCATAAAAAATAATGCATTTGAAATGCTCAAGAAGAAAAGCTTCAAGAATGATTAAAAAAAAAAAACCACTCTCAACGAATGATCTCTTAACATTCTTGCTCTGGGTGTCCACCCTGCGATTAGCCTTTACGTCTTCTGGTAACACACATGCACATTTCTGCTGCGGACACACCTGCTGTGTAGCCACTGTCTGCAGGGAACGTATCCGTGCGCTGAGCAGGCCCTGGAGAGCGCAGCAGTGCGCAGAGGCCGGCAGGGACGCACCTCCGCGCTCCTGCTCGCCACGCATGGGCGCACTCCAACAGCACATGCTGACCTGGATTAGCACTTCCTTTATCTCTACATGTTGGTCGGTTATCTTCAAAATACTATTTCGCAAAATGTTTCTATTTTTTTCCCACTGCATTTGTTTTTCTCTAGTCACTCTTTATGAATTGGACCATTCTTTTATATTCTGCATATGTATATAACTTCCTTGTTATAAACAGTAATTAATTCCTCCCATTCCATGACTTGCCATTCTTAATGATTACTATGCTCTCTTCAGAGAAACTAAAGATCAATTCAAGCCTCCATGGCATCGCAAGCAGAACAGTGACTGCATTCCTACCCAGGCTAGACACCAGGAAACTGACAGCAGGGATAAGGAAGATGCCAGGGCAAACAAGATTTAAGTGCAAGACGTTGAATGAGAAACAGCAACTGGGTTCAGGAGCTGGCATCGTGGTGCAGCATCCCAAGCAGGCGCCAACTCTAGCACCAGCTGCTGCATCTCTGATACAATCCCTCTGCAATGTACCTGGGAAAGCTGCAGAAGACAGCCCACGTGCTTGGGCCTTACCAGCACGTGAGAGACCAGGAAAGAACCTCGCTCTCCTGGCTTTGGCCTGGCAAGCCGTGGTCATTCAGGAACAGAAGCACGGCATGGAGGATCTCTCACCACCCGCCCCGCCCTCCCTCCCCCCACCCCCGCCAACTCTGTCTTTCAAAGAAATAAAAACCTTTTTTGAAAAAGTATTTTCAAAAATTAACCAAGTTATTGCAACAATTCCATACCTCATGGTTGTAGGAAGATTAAGCAGTTCTGCATCAACCCAACAGTGATCAGGAGACAGAGGGTCAAACTCAGAAATCACGTAGCGGAATGTGCAGAGAGAAGCCGTTTAAGGCTTGACAGCACAGGCTCTTCGGTAGAGCTGGTTGACACAAACTAGGAAAGACCTCCAACGCGTGTGCAGGGGGCCAGGGGGCGGGGCTTGGTCCCTGCTTTATGCAGGTCAGTCTAAGAAAAGCTACATAAAATCCCACTAAACTTTAGTTGCAGATTGTCTAAAGTATAATCATCATTCCTTTTTCTTAAAAAGATTTGTTTCTATTTGAAAGGCAGGCTTGGAAAAAAAGGGAGAGACAGGGAGAAAGAAAGATAGGTTTTCCACCCACTACCTCACTTTCCAAAAGGCTTCAATACCACAGCTGAGCCGATCCACAGTTGGGAGCTGGGAGCTTCGTGTCAGCCACCCTCCGCTTTTTCACACCACACACAGGGAGCTAGACTGAAAGTGGCACCTATATGTGATCCTGGTACTGGCAACTGGAAGACTAGAGTGCTACACCACCACACTGGCCCCTTCTTTGTTCTTAAAATTACAAAATCAGGGCCTGCTCTGATGGCTCAGTGGCTAATCCTCCCTTTGCAAGTGCTGGGATCCCTTATGGACACTGGTTCATATTCCACGTGCTCCACTTCCCATCCAGCTTGCTGTATATGGCCTGGGAAAGCAGTAGAGGGTGAACCAAACCTTGGAATCCTGAACCAATATGGGAGACCCAACAAAGACTCCTGGCTCCTGACTTCAGATTGGGTCAGTTCCTGCCACTGTGGCCACTTGGGGAGTGGATGAAAGATCTTCCTCTCCTTCTCTCTGTAAATCTGCCTTTCCACTACAAATAAATAAATCTTTAAAAACTACTCATTTATTTAAAAAGCAGGGCATAAATCTTTAAAATATTTCTCATTTATTTACAAGGCAAGGCTTGAGGAGGTGGAGCAGGGTAAGATCTTCCCCCAAGCACTGGAGCTGGGCCGGGCTGAAGCCGTCACCTTCTTCCTCGTCTCCCACTTGGGAGCAGGGGCTCAGCACTTCTTTTCCAGGGACATTCCCTGAAATTCTGACCTGGAGTGAGTCAGCACCACAGGAGATGCTGGTACCTCCAGTGCTGGCTTTACCAGTTCTGCCACAGCAGTCCCCAAAACTACCTCGTAATTACAAAGGAGAAATGGTACTTTATGGTGGAGAAACCTTGATTATCCGCAAAATGAATCATATTGTCTCATGAACTTTCTGATATAACACACTGAATCAACACCCTGATCATCAAAAATTTAAAAAGGCAAAATCTTTATGTAACCAAGAAGATACAATCAATGTCAACTTTAGGAGCAAAGCCCAAGAACAAGGATACAACTCTCCATCACCAATGAAGAACAACAACAAAGGCCTGCTACCACCCTCGAGACAGCATGTGAAATGCAGCAGTCTATGGCTAGGGCCACCAGAGGAATGGTAACTGTCGCCCTGCGCCTGACACAGCCTCTTGGCACACAGTGCTGATGCCTCCTGAGCCCAGCTGTGGGAATCTGACGAACATGCGAGTAGATGGGGGAGCGTGTGCTCTCCCTCCCCGCCCCGTTCCTTACTTCCTCTCTTTTCCCTCAAAAAAATTAATACATACATTTAAAACAAATTTTTAAAATGTTAAGTCTGGAGTATTTCCTTCAATTCATGACTCTGTGGCCAGAGTGATATATACGCATCATTTATTAAACTGGTAAGAACAGATACTACACTTGATCTTAGCCAAAGGGCCAAGAAGTGATGCACATCATTTATTAAAACAATGAAAACTCGAGACAATTTCCTGATGCCTCAAAGTTTCTATAATGAACGATGCTAAAATTTAAAAGCAAATTTCAAAATCAATTATATTGAAAGGGATGAGGGACTATGAAAGCTTACTGACCATATTTCAAAAAATATCTGCATAGATGAAAATCAGTATTGTAATCACAGCAGCAGAGCCAATGAAAGGCACCCTCCCACTTAACTGTGTCGTTCTGAAGAATGAGCTAGCTCTGACAGACAAGAGCAGAAGCTAAGTGGTCAGAGCCTGCTGGGACCTCGCAGTCAGGGCAGCCCAGATGTTCAACCAACAGCTTCTCAGCTGATCGACTCATTTGGTTCTCATCTATGATGGAAGGAAATAACAGCACCTCTTCGTTATTCCAGGCTTTTTGAATTTCAGTTTGGGCTGGCATGAAGTCACCGTTAGAACGTTGCCCTCTCATACTGGAGCAACAGTTCAAGACTGCGCTACTCCACTTCCCATCCTGCTTCCTGTTGATGTGCCGGCAAAGGCAGCAGGACAAGGCCCAAGTATCTCTGCGCTGAGCCCCACCATCCATCTATTCTAGCATCCTGGCTTCAGCTTGGCCCAGCCCAGGCCAGGGTACCCATTTAGGCAGTGAACCAATACATAAAAGATTCTCTCTCTGCCCGGCTCTTGCCTCTCAAAAGCATTTCTTGTTTTCTCAGTAATCTATATTGTACAATTGTATGATCATAAACAAGTAAAACTAAAAATGAAGTAAATAATAACAAAAACAATATTGTAAAACCTGAAATATTTCTGTGATTTTAACTGAATGTCAATCATTTTAGCTTCTTATGCTTGTTTATTTATTTGTATTGGAAAGGCAGATTTAGAGAGGAGAGTCAGAGAGAAAGATCTTTGGTCCTCTGCTTCACTCTTCAAGTAGCCATAACAGCCAGAACTGAGCTGATGTGAAACCAGGAGCCAGGATTTTCTTCATGGTCTGCCAAGCAGGTGCAGAGTCCCAAGGCCTTGGGCTGTCCTCTACTGCATTACCAGGCCACAAGCAGGGAGCTAGATGGCAAGTGGAGCAGCTGGGACACAAACAGGTGACCATATGGGATCCTGGTGCATGTGAGGTAAGGATTTAGCCACTGAGCCAACATGCTGGGCCCAAGACTAAATTTTTTAAAAACACGCATATGATGAAAATCAAGATGGCAGAATAGGGTAAGGACATGTTTAAACAGAGAAACATTAGCCAGTGTGAAGCAGAGAGGGAATATTCCAGAAAATAGGAAAGGACAGAAAGATAGCACAGGGGCACCTGGAGACTAACAGACACAGGAAAGCAGCAGATACAATGGTGTGGTGTTGCAGTGACTGATACACCAGTGGCATTCAACGAACAGCGATCTGAACTGCACCGGCAGTTGGAACTCTACCAGCAACAAGGTAGGAAGGGATATTTACTGGGAGTTCAGGAGGTGAACTCAGACAAAGAACTGTTGTCCTGTTGGTCTGTTTGATTTGACCAGGAGCAGAGACACAGCAGCAGGTACCAGTCAGGCAGTGGGTGAACAGGAGATTTCACTGTGCA